AGAGAACAAAAAAAGGGGGGAAAAAAAATACAAGAGTGTATCTTTGTACAATGATTGCAGGAACAGATGAATAAACATGAAACCTGATACTTCACATCTGGTATTTCATCACTCCAAATACCTTATTCACATTCAAATATATTTAACACTGTGAAAACTTTATAAGCTAACAATGTCTTTATGGAGGCAGCAACTTGCATGGAACTTTCAAAATTAAAAGTTACAGTAAAAATAATTTGTACCATGTAACTGTACTCTTCATAAAGCTACTTCCCTCTCAGCTTCCTAACAGAAACCCAGAAAAACACCAAATAATGGCAGTTAGATACAGAATCAGGCAAGCCCACAGAATAAGATTTCTTTTGTCAATGTTCTAGTTCAAAGTTCAGTTTGAATACCCAATTTATACAAGGTGCTTTGGAAATGAAGACTATTATTATTCATCATACAAAAATTCTATTATCTAAGCAGGATTTTTTATGAAAGTATCCTTTTCCCTTAACAGTGCATGCCCAGAGATTTTACGTATAGCCTAATAAGCATACACAGTTCTGAAAGGCTGCTATGCAATGTCTCACATTAATTAGTACTCATTCTTCTCTGTAAAACTACTAAACATGCTAAAAAACTTTCTTTTCATAATCACTACATACTCATAAGCACTTTTGTTACAGAGATGAATACTTTTAGTGCAAACTTGCAACTGAAGGGCAGTTTACAGGTCCCAAAAATTTTTATGAAATTATATTCTTGTCTTAAAGGCAAAAGCCACCTTTACTACATTAAGGCTAATTTAGCAGTGCTGATAACAAAATGTCTGCAGGCATATTCCACTTGCTAGCACTTATGGCACTTTGGCATTGTCCCTAGAGCTGCACTAAAGCCACATCTTTCCCCAGCTAAATTTCAAAAAAAAAAAAAAAAAAAAAAGGAAAATGTGCAGACAGCACCAAATCCAATCCCGTGGTAACTCCAGTGACTTCAGTGTTACACCAGGGATAAAAGTAGGGCTGCATTTCACAGCAGCATTCATTCTTGTAATCTTTTCCAAAACACTCTCTCAGGAGCAAAGACAAGCATAGGCAAATATCTTGCCAATAAGTGAGTTCACAGGGATTGCTACAAGTTACTAAACTGTCAGCAGTAAAAGACCAACAACTGGAACAAAGTACAAATACAGGACAGCCAATGCCCTCTAATGGGCTGGAGTTTTACTATGAGCTGCATAAACAAGGACATGGAAATTCATCAGAACAGATCTCTGAGGCACAAGGCAAATCACAGAGTGCCCTAGTTGTACAAGAGGATGATATTTGTGTTTGATCAATACTGTTTTGAAACAGTACAGATGAAAAAAGCCTTACCAATGCCTTGGCAAGGCAGATAAAAATGTGTCTAAGAACTCAGCTTTTCCCCCGTGGCCTACACTGGACTGCTTCCAGAAAGAGTGTGAGCATCTATTTATAGATGTGTTCCTCTATCCTCCTTCAAGCCTCCACATTTATACCCTCGTCACCTTTTTTTAAATTTTATTTACTTTTAGTCAATACTGTGCTAGGAGCAGAACCAACACTATAAGACCTTCACAACCTCACCCACAAAGGAAAGGGAAAAGGAGTGATGGATAGAGCTTTCCTGCAGGAAACTTATCACATGTTCCTTGGCTTTACCATGTATTCCCTTTCTCTCTCAAGAATTTCAAAACTAGTTTCTGGAATTTGTCCATTCGAACCAAAACAAGTGTCTTTGCTTCTTACCCAATCATTTCCTATAAATTTAAAAACAAGAGTTTCATTAGGCTTTCATTTTGTTTTCTGAGTGTTTTTTCAAGGAGCTATAACCCTGGGACAGCCTGAAATGCTCCTCGTCTTGCACAGGTCACAGTTTTGCTTTGCAGCCTGAGGATGCCACAAGGCAAGAATAAAAATGTTAGGACATCCCCTTTTCTCCCACAAGCCAGGGGTCCCTGCAACCCTTTTCTGTAGGGATAGGATCAAAAGTCTTTTGTTCTTGTCATCCTCTTGAGTTTTAAATTACATTTTTGGGAAGGCAAAGGGAGAGGGAAACATCCTTCCCTTCCCTCCTTCATGCAAGGTCTCAGCTGTAGAGGAACAGCTGAAGTCATCCAGGCTGTCTGGAGAAGTCACAGATGTCCCCCAGTGCCACTGGGCAGCTCTCCCATCACAAGGCACCCTGCTCTCACCCAGGTGGTACCCCAGGCAGGAGCCCCTTGGCCACCCCTCACCCACGGATCCCAGTGCCCTCAGTCCTCCTTGAGCAATCCTCCAGCTCCCCTGGAGCCAGCTGAACACAAACCTCTTAGTAATGCCAATTTAAGGATGATTTTTAGACCACCACAAAGAACAGTGAAGAAACTCTGGCTGCTTGCTTACATGAATGTCACAAAGCTCTCATTAAATCAAAGGCAGAGACTTAAAATGTTTCTTCAAGCAAAATATCTGCCCTTCTCAGAGTCTCCCTCTGAAGATCAAAAACTACAATTGCTTAACTTAATCCACACATACTGATCATTATATTTGCTTCCATAAAGATCAGATTTGTTCTGGTGCCCACATCTAAAGGTAATTTCAGTTAGAAAATGAAATGGTGCTCTCTTGACCTTTTGTCTTACATGGCCCATGAATTACTGACACATTACAATATCCCTCAGCACTATGGAAGCTTGGCCATATTGCAATGTCTGTTTTGTAAGTGAAATAAACTTCGTATGCCACTAAAAGGCATTAAATTATTTTCATTATGCCACGCAGGATGTAAAACACTTACACTGTTTTGATTTCAAAATCCTTGGAGAACAATTATGCTCTCAGGGCCATAAGACTCTATTAGGAAGTCCTCAGAAACCTAGCATGGTTTCAATAAATCCTCAAACACTACAAAGCAGTCACTCAGTTTGAAGAATGAAAACATGAGTTCATCCACTGTAAATTCTGCTCATACAGTGCCCTGCACTTCCTAACACATTTCTTTCTACTCAATCAGGGCAACACTTTCAGTGAAGTTTTCAGCATCAAGCACACATAGCTCCTTTTTTTTTTTGATTGAAAATTAACTATATTTGATTTAGGATTAGCATAAATATGAGATGTGCCTATGCTTACGATGTTACTAGCTACTAGTATTAATCAGCAATTAGATATGCACAAATAGTTTTATACATATATAATTCAACAAATGTTAACATTCAGGATTAGGAACCATTAAACTAAATCAGTGATTGTCACAATGAATGACTAAATATGTTAATTTCTTTAATTTATACAATGGCACAAAAAAAAATGCTTGAAAACACCAAAAAGTAGATTTCAGGGGTGACTAGTGTGGTTGTAGGGATCCTGATTAAAAAAAAAAAACAACAAATGCAACCACCCTTATTTTGGCTGATGGGCTGTAGGAACGTAAGCAAGGCTTTAGAGCATAAATACACCATAAGCCTGTTTATATTTATATATATATATATATATATATATATATATATATATATCCAGGCAGGAAACCCAGCCCATGGAACTTTCTGCCGAGGGCAGTTGAGAAGCTTCATCCCGACTCTTTTATTTTTTTCCTGGACAGGACATTCAGGGCAACATGGCAGCTGCAGAGGGAGCAGCGCACCCGGCAGCGCCCGTGACCTCGGGCGGGCACAGCTGGTGGCAGCTGCGGCACCATCTGCTCGGGGTAGCGGTGAGGGACGGGGGAATATCCTCTCAGGCATTGCCACCCACCCCTGGGCACGGCCAGCTGACCCCAGGGCACTGCCACCTACCCCCGGGCATGGGCACACGGGCACATGGGCACATGGACAAGGGCTCTCCCGGCTCCAAGAAGGAGTTTGGAAAATGGAAATGAGAAAGAAGAATGAGAAAGGAACGAGAAAGGAACATGAAAGAAGAATGAGAAAGGAATGAGAAAGGAGAATGAGAAAGAAGAATGAGAAAGAAGAATGAGAAAGGAGAACGAGAAAGGAGAATGGGAAAGAGGAGTGGGAAAGAAGAATGGGAAAGAAGAATGAGAAAGGTACGAGAAAGGAGAATGGGAAAGAGGAGTGGGAAAGAAGAATGGGAAAGAAGAATGAGAAAGGAGAACGAGAAAGGAGAATGGGAAAGAGGAGTGGGAAAGAAGAATGGGAAAGAAGAATGAGAAAGGTACGAGAAAGGAACAAGAAAGAAGGAGAAAGAAGAATGAGAAAGAAGAATGAGAAAGGAACGAGAAAGAACAATGGGAAAGAAGAATAAGAAAGAAGAACAAGAAAGGAATGAGAAAGAACAATGGGAAAGAAGAATAAGAAAGAAGAACAAGAAAGGAACGAGAAAGAAGAATGAGAAAGAAGAACAAGAAACGAGAAAGGAGAGAGAGCTCGGAGCAGCGGGACAAGAGCTCCGCAGCCCCGCGCAGCACACGGAGATGTCAGCATCCCTTGGTGGAATGTTGGCATCTGATTGAGAACAGTTTGCACGCAGGGAAGGGGGGGAAAAAAAACAGTGAAAAATAAAGAAAAGACACAAAAGCACCCCTAACTTGCCTCTTTCATGGAGAGGCTCCTGAACACAAGTACTTTATCAATTTGCCGTTCATAATCCATTTGCATAATCTGCCACACCACCACGCACACTGCACTTCCCATTTCCCTGGCTTCACTATTTAGTGGAAAATAAAGAAGCATGCCTATTTTTTTTGTGTACCCGAGGAGAGACACAGTTAAATGTTTCTTTTAAATATTTCCATTCAGCCACACCACTATATAAGATAACTAATAAGACAATTCTGTATCAATATTGCTTTCCTAGTGCCAGCAGAGAAGGAAACGGACAATCCTGAACACAGCATCAGCTCAGCTGAGCTCTCTGAACTTCATAGATTTCTTCATTATTTACTCTAAAAGCACCAAAATCAGAACCAGGAACATTGTGTAGGAACAAGCTAGGCTTTACAGTTCTCATGTTGGAACAATTATTTCCAAAGGCTAAATGTGTACCACTTACCATACATTTTGCCTTCATCTGATAAGATGATTTTCCTCCTCCCACATGGTGGATAGATAGCTAGAGCCTCCTGAAAGCTCTGTTCAATGTCAGGACTCCAGACACCTTCTGCATCATTGTCAATGGGTTTATCTGCAGAATCACTCATTCTTTCAATGTCTTCGGCAGGACTCTCGCTGCCGCTCCAGCTGCTGGGCTCAATGGTGATGGCTTGGGGTCTCCAAGCCTAAGCCTGGAGTCTTCAAGGGGATAAACCTGCAACACAAACAACCAACCCAAAAAGGCATTAAAGGAATGGAACTCCAGGCAAACATTTCTGCCTACTTCTGATACTAAGTGAACAGCAGCTGAGCAATAATGGCAGTAAGGCGAGCACGGGATGCACCCAGGAAAAGTGAAAAATTAATAACTATTCTACCTCAAACGAGCAGAGGTGGAGCAATAAGGCTGCCAGAAGGGGAACTCTACTGCATTTTCTGTGTGCAATTACATGAAGGCATAGAGAATCAGATAATTTTTCACAAATAGTCAAAGTGGGGTTAAACTCTCCAGTCACACTGCATACGGCTGAAGACTGGCACACTTGAAATAAAAAGCCAGATCCTCAGATCACCAGAGCTTAAAACCATTTGAACCTAAAAACAAAAGCAAAAACTATTTTTCACATTCATCCAGATGTCAGTGAATTAAATGGAATTACAGCAGTGATGCCACAGCTCAATGTAATTAACTGGAGAAGGCTTTAATTTTCATATCTTACCCAAATAAATAATACAATCAGAATCCAAGCTATATACAAAAATAAATCTTTAAAATTATAACATCGGAGCAAGGAATTACAAGAGAAGATATATGCTTTGCCTGATTTAAAAGGTCTCTGTCACAGAACCATAGCAGAACAAAAATTACAAGCTTCAAGTTGCTGAATCAATTTAATAAGAAATAATTTAATACAGCTGCACCTGCTCACACCAGCAGAGCTGCAGATCTGTCAGTGTTCCTTTTATATTTTTAAGAGAAATACAACTCTGCTCTAAAGATTTGCTCCAGGCAAAAAAGCTGCTATATCAGACCAAATTTACCTCTGGTGTAATTCTTTGGGAAGCGAGTCAAATAACACCAGGAACAGATTTGGCTCAACATGTCTAGGCAATTTTATCGTGAAAAAAGGAGAAGTTTGGTGACTCTAACTGATCTAAGTGGATGGGAGTGTTCAAACATGCATGCACGAGCTGCAAACACAATTAAAAATCCAGTTCCCTGGCTAAACACTCAAAGCCCCTAAACTACAAGATTTTTCTTCTGCTAGGGCAGAAGAGAGGGGCTTCCCCTCGCACAGACCTCCATCCTCCTGCTGACATGCCTGGCACTGGGTCTCAGTACGTTGTAAAACAACAGGTGAAAAGCAGAACATCATCCACGCCACGGAGGAAGAAGGGGAGGGTGTACATGGAAAGCCATGACACCTCTGACTAAACACCTTTGAGCTGGAGAACTGCCTGAAAGAGGAAATACTTACAGCAGCCCTCACCAGCCAACCAATCGCTGGAGATAACCAAAACCTGACGGTCCGGTCCCTCGGAGGCCACGGTGTCTTGCAGAAAAACAGAGCTGCAGCTGGGGAAACTGGGAGCAGGCTCAGTCTCACAAACCAACATTACCAGTTTGGCATCCAAAGCACAGGGTATTTCCACTTCTCCAGGCTCTAACCGGAATTCAGAGGGACCAGTATGGGTGAAATAGGCTCCCATGAACTCGATTTTCCCTGCTTGTCTGTCTCTACAGAGTGGCATTTCTTGACTTTGCATTGCTTTGAACATTTCAGCACAGCTTCCAAAAACGTTAGTGCCTCCCCACCCTAACACAGCCAGGCTAATCACTGTCTCTAATGCCTTTTAATAACTGATAATGAGGGAGCAGACGGATTCACAGAGAACCACACGTGTGGTGAAAACTCTGGCAAAATGTACCACTTATGGTCAGGGAAATCCAAAGCACGCAACATTTTTTAAGTTGTCATCACACACAAATGGAGATGCAAACCTTGGTAAAATGGTGAAACCCCATCCTTCATAATCCTCAGATGGCTGAAGGGTTGGTTCAACACCCAGAAGAGTTAAATCTTGTCTGAAAAATTTAGCCCAAGCATGAGCACTGTGATACTGGGAAACTACTGACAAAAACAATCATGTCCACTTAAGCCTTCACAGAGAAGGGGAATCTTTGGTAAATGAGAGGTAATTGAATGTTGATGGGGATAATTAGGAGGAGGAGTCAGTTTTATTGCAATAGTGCAGGGGAAAATGGCTGCTGTAGGATTTATTGGCCTCACATGACCAAACCACAATGAGCATTTCACCAGAAGGCAGCAGAGGGTGGGACACATCACTGGCTCTGTTTTCCAAAGGTGACTACAGCAGGAAATCCTTCCCCTCGCTGAGTCCATGGCTTGCACAGCACAGCACAGCCACGGGCAGCTTCTGCTCAGCTCAGCCACCCTCTGCTTACAAAACCTGCCACAGTCATAGCCTCAAGTCCTATTATCATCTTATAAACCAGCCCTTGTTATTACATTATGCTGAAATAATAATTAAAATGCACAAGGAACATAGTGAGGCTCTAAAGTAATAATGTTACTTGATAGTCATGTCATATCTTGCGTTGTGTTTACTGGTGAATTTTCACTTATCTGCTATCTCCCTTCCCATTCCTCTTTACCTACTTGGATATCATCTTGAGGCACTCACAGCTACTATTCCAGCCTCTAAAATGTAAGATAACCAAGTGTTCATTTCAGAACATCTGTACAATAGGGGCGTGGAGCAGCCTGCTGGAAGAAAACCTCTCATATTAAAGGTTATTTGGAGCGATTTCCATTTTGGTGAATGCTGACACTGCAGATTAAGCCAGAGGGCCAAGGAGGAAAAAAACTTGTATTACAACTGCTAAATGGCTCCCTCTTACTTCAGGAAAAAAATGAGTTAACTCAGTTAATTATTTCCAGCTCAGCTCTATGTATCAAATGGCAATTCCACCTCCTCCTCAGCTTGAATTCTAACAACTCAGCTGCGATGAAAAACTTCAGACCTGTTACGCTGGAGTTCAACACGATTATCAAAAATAATATAAGCTGTCAACAAATGAGCTTTTTTGCACATTTCTAATGAGCTATAACTCTCATATGAAAAATTTCGATTTACAATCCAATTTAAATTTATAAAAAACTTTAAAAAGTGAGCCTACTTTATATTAGCAAACTCCAAATCTTGCAATGCCAGCTTTCAGTGGAGGAAGAGCCAAGCTCCTGGGGCCAATTAGCCCCACCTCCCCTGGCCAAAATCAGAGATTGTACACATGACAGATCAAGTTGAAGGGTTCTGTATTTGCTTTTTATCATGTTAACTTTCAGAGAACCAATACCCTGTTTGCACTTTCTGTTAACAAAATTAAAACACATCAACACTACCTAGAAAACCAACCAACCAACCAACCAACCAACCAAAAAAAAAGCCCCAAACCCACAAAAAAATAGAGAAAAGAAAAAACACACAAAAAAACCCTAACAACAACCCTAGCCCAAAAGATTTTGGCTCACCTTTTTGTACATTCTAACACTGCTTAAAGCACACTGCTACAGTTTAGGTGGTCTCTCTTCAGAGTTTTCCTTTTAACACCAGCCTTACACATTTCAAGATAGCTTCCCCTGTACATAAAACTCTTTTAGCTGCAAACCAAATGCATCTTTCTTGCAGCTGCTTTCTACTCTGTGCAGTTAAGTCAATTCTAAATATATCTGTTTTCCTCATGTGGTCATTAAGACACTTTTTCTCTGCATGATGGAGGTACGTCCTCCCCGTCAAACAGCACAATGTCACTCTTAGGAACAGAGAAACCATTAGGGGAAACGGAGGATTTTATAAACATGTTTTATAGCCAGGCCATTCAAGACAGCTTGGTGAGCTACAAGATATGACTTACTGTCATTATGTTCACTAAAGCAACTTGAAAAATTACTTTAAAATCTCAGAGAAACAAAGCTAGCTGTTGTCAGAGCCCATCAAACCAATGTGTTTAAATCAAACCAAATGATAGTCTGCAAGTGCTTCTCAAGAGAATGGTTTCTTTACCTACACAAAACATTCTCTTATGCCTTTCACTTTATGGGCAATGCAAATCTGGACTTGCCCAGAAAGCTGCTGCTCACAGACCAAAAACTGAGATCAATGGCTCCTCACAGGAGCGTAGGACAAGTGCAGAGCTAAGGCCTTGATACCCTTCATAACCTTCAATATTTGCACTATGAACTAACATGGAAATGCTGTCTTTCAAAAGTCACTAGAGCTGGGTCTTATTTTCCAGTGTCTTCCAAAAGTTAAATAGTTTTCTCTGTTTGTTTGATTAATTTGCTTCCTTGAATTTCAATGTACACGTGCTGAATGGTGCCTTCTCTGTACTATCAAACAATCCCTGGAAAAGGATAAATGCTCTGCAGATATTGCAGCAGGAACACAAAAATGACTGAAAACACGCCTTGATTCTGAGAGTTGTCTGAGGAAAAAAGCCATTATGTCTCCCAAGTCTTCTAAACTATGTCTGCTCAAAGGGGATGAAGTGCAGGTATTTCTGAGACTGAACACCGGTGTTGTTATCCACACTGATCTTCTCACTATAAATAGATGCAGACTGCTACCAAATTATTCTTACAGCCAGATCTATATTTCTAAAACATGTCTTTCAGAAAAAAAAAATCTTAATTCTTGAGGCAGAGATTTCAAGTGTTGAAGGGGTAAATTACATTTTTAAAAACACACATTTTTAGTTCATGAACAACCTCATCTTAGCCTCAGTTATGTAAAAGCAATGGAATCCAACAAGTTGTTTATAAACATTAAGATGGCAATGAGCAGATAAGTGCAAATCAACTAATTCTAAATTTGCAGATGGCATATTTTCTCTGAAGGCTTGAAAAGTTGCAGGCCCATGGGATTTTCCTTCTGCTTTGTTCAGCAGTGCAAATCCACAGCTGGAGTGCCAAAGCTCTGGAGAGGATCCAGAGGAAGAAAGTTATCAGATCTAGAAAACATGACCTACCAGGAAAGGAATTGGGTTTTTAAAATTTAGAAAAGACTGTTTTGAGAAGATAACCACTTTCAAATAAGGAGAAGGTAAGAGCAAAGCACAGAAGCAGCTCTTAGCCATTCCTACCAAGGATGGGATATAAAGCAAAGAACTTGGAGTTGCAGCAAGGAAACCAC